AGTTGCACTCTGCATCTGGGATGGCTACTGTGTCTTCAGGCACTGTCTGGTCTATGAGGTGTGTCTGGTCTGTGTATGTGTGGGCAGCTGCTAAAATGTAGTCTTTTTTGTCAGGTGTGTGTGAGGGTAGAGGTGAGAATAACGTGGAGATCATGCCAGGTAAGGTCATAAGCTTGTGTTAGCAGAATTCTTTATGGTGATGTGTGGGTTAGATGAAAAAAAAGCTGGGGCTTTTTTTTTTTAATTTTTTTTTAATGTTGAGGCATTTTTTAAGTAATGGACAAATCAGATAGAGAATAGGGAACATGGACACAAACAACTCTATCTTTGGTGCCTGCAGAGTAATGCAGGAGATGGGGAGAGTGGATAACACTTGGATGGCGAGTCATGAGTATGTGTATGAGAGCTAATGAGAGAAGAGAAATAGGGTACTGCAGTGGGAGGAGAAGATATGGATGGGAGAGGCCAAATCTTCAGGAGGATCCAGGTCAGAGGGGGTAGAGCCAGAGGTTGGAGCGGCAACAGAAGGAAAAGAAAGTTTTTAATTTTTCAGGAGAGAAACACATGTGCACTGGAATAGACTGAACAGAGGTCTGGGCGAGAGCAAAGGAACCAAAAGCCTGGAAATAGGGGATCTCCAGGTCTTTGCCTAACCTGTGACAGTAGTTGTCTAAGGCCTTCAGGATATCAAAGTCTAAAGAGCCATCAGGTAAAAACAGAGCAGGGGGAAAAAATTAGATTTCCCCCCCTTTATGTCTAAGCGGTTTTGTACTTCATGCCACTTTGAAAGTAAACAGCCTAGTGGTGATTTAGGGTCAAATTTAGACACTTGTAATCCCAGTTTCCATCCCATCCCCGAGCAATGTGTGTCAGTGTCCCAACAATCAGTCTACACAAAGAAGGAAAGGTAAAAGGGCAGCAAGGCAGGTGGGGTGTCCCCACAGACACTGAGGCCCGGGCTAGACCTGGTCTAGTGGAAATGCGAGTCCCTCTCACTACCACGATTGCAGACAGGAAGCCGGGAGACAGAGCAGGAAAGGAGGGATGAGTGGACCATGTGGACTCAACTCTGGCAGGAGGAGGCTGGACTCCAGAGGGGTCCCAGTCTGAGGTGAAGGAGCAGCCCAGGGGCACACGCTCCTCCTGGGTTTTAGCACTAAATGTAAAATAGGCACAGAAACTGAAAGTAAGCAAGGAAGCTTTTTATTGGGAGCTCTTGGGGTGAGGTTCGTTAACCTGGGCTGGAGAGAGGCAGCAAGGGGCAGGGAAGTCACATGGTAGGTGGGGGTAAACAGGCTTTTAACCACTCAGTGGAAAGGAGCCATCTCTTAGCAGAGGCAGTGAGTGCTATTGACATTGTTAGGCAAGAACCTGCTATTGTAAGCGAGGTACATTGTTGAATCAGATGACTTAGAAAATCCCCTTTCTAGCTTTTAGTTTCCTTGAGGTCATGTCATGGGATTCAGTGAGTCAGCCCTGTAGGCATAAGATTAAAGACAAACAACTACTCATATATCATTTTTCTTTGTGGTGGCTTATTTGTTGCTGTGATATTGGAAGCTATGCCACTGCTATTTCAAATACTAACAGGATCACCATGGTTGACAGATAAGGACATTACTTCTTTGTCGGCTCGTTCATTTTGGTCCAGTAACTCTTTATACTCCTTCAGTCTTCTTTTGATACTGCCTGTATCATTCAATATTTTGCCCATAGCATCTTTAAGTATTGCATCTTAAGGCTTGAATTTGTTGTTCACGTCCTTCAGCTTAAGAATTGCCGAGTGTAGGGCATTCTGGTGGCCTAGTGGCAAGAAGCTGCATTGCAATCCCGGAGGTATGGGGTTCTAATCCACCTCTGCTGGAGAAGGTGGGGCAATCTCCTCCTGTACCAGTCAGATCCAGTTTGACAGTACACACACAAAATAATAAAGTAAAAATTTTAAAAACAAAAAAAGAATTGCTGAGTGAATTTGATTCTTGATTTTTTAACTCTAGATCTTTGCACATTTCATTAAAATACTTTGCTTTGTCTTTCCAAGCTTCCTCTTAGAATCTTCTGTTTAGCTCCTTAACTTTTTTATTTCTTCCTTATTTAATATGATCGTCCTTGCCTTTTCAAATCATCTTAAAGAGTTCTTTGTAAATTAATGATATTTATTATTATCCTTCATATTTTTAGATAGTGGACTATTTTCCTAAACCTTTGATTTACATTTTGGTTCTGTTTATTAGTATATTTTGGCATGAAAGCATTTTTTTAAAAATTTTAAATTATTATTAATTTTAATGACAATTTACAGAGACTTTGGATTTCCATTCATTCATTCATTCATTCATTGTTGTACTTTTCTCCCTGCCCATCCCTCCCCCGAAAGCATTTTTATGTGTTATAGAATGAAGTAACTTTTTCTTTTTTTTTAATTTATTATTAATTTCAATGAACATTTACAGAGACTTTGGATTTCCATTCATTCATTGTTCCACTTTTCCCCCCTACCAATCCTCTCCCCTTGTACACTACCCTCTAGGAAAAGTAAAAGAAAAATTCTTTCATTGTTTCCACACAGGTCCATTTTGCTATGCAGCCTTTGCTCTGGATTCCTGTCATGATAAAAATCCCTGATAATTTTCCCTCTTAAACAGTTTTCTCCCTCATCTGTGCCAATACAGTATACATTATTGAACCCATCCTTCTCAATCTCCTCCCAACCCCGAGGTCAGTCCTGTCCTTTTATGACTGAGATACTTCATTCAGCATAATGTCCTCCAGGGTCACCCATTTTGAATAATACTGCATGAGTTCCCTTGTTTTTTTAATGCAGCATAGTATTCCATTGTGTGAATACACCACAGCTTCTCTATCCATTCGTTTGTTGATGGGCACTTAGGTTGTTTCCCACTTCTTGGTATTCTGAACAAAGCTGCAGTAAACATCGGTGTGCATATATCTTCTTGGATATCAGTTTCGGTCTCTTTGGGGTATATTCCCAGTAGTGGAATTGCTGGGTTGAATGGTATCTCTATTTGCAACTTTTTGAGAAAGCTTCATACCGCCTTCCACAGTGGTTGCACCAGAAATCACTTTTTTGACTCTTGAATTTCCTATAGAAAAAGTTGAGAAGTATGTTTTGTATATAAGATTTTAAATGGAATATCTTCTTTAGTAAACTACATTTATTTTTTATTTAACATGGTGCCACAAATGACAGCAAAATGTGTTTCTAAGCACGGTTATCAATTTAAAAATCTACGGCAGCGTGTTAATATATATTAGAAATTATTGAACACAAAGAATTATCATTGCAGGTTTAATTATAGACATTTACAAAATAAATTGATTGGGATACAAGTAAATATTTTATTGGGTTAAATATTGGCTCTGATGCTTCTGCCACCTGACATGTTATTTCATTCAAGCCTGAAGGACAGATTGCCACACCCCATGTTTAAAGACCAACCAAGGTATTGCATCCCATCCAAGCTATTGTCTTTTCAGTTGTTTGCTGTGCATCTGTAAGTTGGACAATGACTAAGGATGAAAGAAGACTCTTTAGAATTGGTGTTAGATAAGAGTATTGAATTGGATTGTCAAGAGATCAAACAGGTCTGTCCTGGTGAAAGTGAAACCAAGTGGCTACTTACAGGCAAGGACAGTGAAACTCAATATCACATACTGCAGGCATGTTGCAGAAGGGAGCAGTCCTTAGAGAAGTATATCATGCTTGGAAATGTAGAGGTCAGCCAAAGAGAGGAAGACTCTCTATGACATGGATTGTCATGTGACTGTAACACTGTGTCAGTGATGATGAGGATAGTGCAAGATAGGGTAATGTTCATATCTGTTGTTTCATAGGATCATACCTCACTGAACAACATATAACAATAATGCTGTTCTTGTGACGTGTTGAATTGCATTGCTAAACAAGGCAGCTAGAATCTCCAGTGGTTTGAATCCATTCCGAGGGAGAATGATGGCCAGTTGCTCCAGTAAGATTTGCAGCCTTAGGTATGGGAATGAGCATATGAAACACAATATGAATGAAGAAATGTGCACAATGCTATATAGTATAGATGAATTTTTTAAAAAAAACCCAAACTACTTAAAATTTAATTTGCTTTTAAAAAAAAAAACTACAGCCTTAGTAAGAAAGTTGCTACGAGTCAGAGTCTACTTGGCAGTGAATAGTTGTGTTTCTTTTTAAAATATTGTTCCTGATGATTATTATTTACTTTGAGCCCTCCTTCCTGTGAGTAAAATCACATCACTAATTCACTAGTCAGGGAGAACTAGAGGTAAAGAGAAGGGGAGTTCTCAAGCTGTAAACTCACTACCATGTGAGAACCAACTCCTATCTCACCCTCTCACCCTTTTTTCTTTCCGTGGTCATACATTGCTTGAGAGGAGATTGCTTATCTTTCTCTGAGTTGTGGTCTTTGGATTAGTAGAGAACATCTAATTATGACATCAGAGCTTCTAGAAATGGATTTAAGGTTCCCCTAAAGGTCTTAGTAATCAAGTATTTCAGAATTTTTTTTTAAAACTTGTTTTTTTTAAATATTTATAATTCTTTAAAAAAATTTAATTATTATTTTTTTGTGTGTACCATCAAATTTGATCTGACTGGTACTGGAGGAGATTGTTCCTCCTTCCCCAGCAGAGCATCTGGTGGATTCATCAGACTGTGTGCCTCTGGGATTGCAGTGCAGCTTCTTGCCACTAGGCCACCAGAGCTCCCCTCAGAATTTTTTTTAAATTTTTTAAATTTTACTAATTTTTGTGCATGTACTGTCAAATCAGACTTGACTGGTACTGGAGGAGATTGACCCTTTTTCCCAGCAGAGCATCTGGTGGAATTTGAACTGCATACCTCTGGGATTGCAGTGCAGCTTTCTTGCCACTAGGCCACCAGAGCCCCCAAATATAAGAATGTATTGAAATGTTGACGAATTTTCATTCACCCATTAAGTCACCTATTTCTTTTGGTTTTCTTCTCTTAGCTTGGAGGGACGATTTGAAGATGAGGAGCTGCAGCAGATTCTTGATGATATCCAGACAAAGCGTAGCTTCCAGTATTAATCTCGAGATACCCTTCAGCGTAATGCTTCCTCCGCAGGATCTGGACTGACTTAACACAGAAAATTTACTTCAGAAAACACTTGATCTTCTTTGGGCAGAGTGAAACATTGATTTTGGTTCGGTTGGTGTTTAAAACCTAACTGGTAAACCCCAGTAATTATGTCATTTTAAGAGGCTTTGCAGGGCCTCCAGCTTTGGCGAAATATGAGGTGGGATGACTGCTTCATCCCCTGCTATTTGGCCTCTATTATTTTTTTTTGGCTTCTATTATTTTTTATTCTTAGCAATTCATGTTTTAATTTATAAAAGTGATTTAATTATTTAAACCACACAAGAACATGAGGTAAAGCTTACCACAGAAAGCAGTTAGAACCATGATTAACCTGTGGAGCATTGTGAGGCCTCTAACCTTCAGATGAGCAGGTAGTTTTACCTTTTTCATGGTCAGTCACAGAATGAGAATTTGGAGAACATGTTTATTATTAACTCGTTTTGTAACCCTAAGTTAGGATTTTATCACTACATTGGGAAGGTCTGTCCATTTTAAATGTCTGCATGTGTTCAGGAGCAGAAGTTTGTATGATGGACTAGACCTGGATGTAGAGACTTTCTATGCTCCTGAGCCAGTGCAGGGAGGACATTTGACCTCCAGCTGTCTGTGATAGACATTTTTAAAACTGCATATTCTTGCTTTGATTTTTCTACAAGGAAATGAGACCATTTCCTTCACAGTTTTGGAAGGTTTTGGTGTTGGGTTTTTTTTTTTACACTTATATTCAAGAAAAAGGTTGGGGAAGGAGCATATTTGACCTTATATTTCTAGTTAAGTAATGAATAAAATATTCTCATTTTCATACTCTCTTGTAGTTATTGAAATAACATGGTTTAGCTCTTTTCAACAAGGCAGTTGAGTAACAGACTCAGAGATGCACATCTTGTGAAGAAGACCCTGACTGATAAGACCATTTAGCCAAAATCCAAGACAAGGAGAACATCCCCCTTGACCAGCAGCATCTGGTATTTGCGGGTAGACAGCTTGAGGATGGCGACCCAGTCTCTGACTACAGCATCCCAATAGAGTCCACCTGCATTGGTGCTGCATATGCGTGGTGGCATTTTCGAGCCTCCCTGTGCCAGCTCGCACAGAGGTATAACTGACAAAATGATCTGCTGCCGGTGTTCTGCTTGCCTGCACCCCCATGCTATCAGCTGCTGCAAGAAGAAGTGTGGGTATACCAAACAACCTGCACTCCAAGAAGGTCAAATAGGAGCTCCCTCTTCATTGGCTCCCTTGCCTCTTGCAGGTGGCCACATTCTGAGCCCCGTGGTTCTGGGCCCTCAATAAAGTCTCCCTTTCATTGAACTGAAAACAAAGCAAAACATGGTGGTTGTTTTTTTTTTTTTTAGCAAAACATGTTTTATAGCATATTTCTTGTATTAGCTTGTTTTTGGGGTTTTTTTGAGTAGCTGGATTTATCATAGTTTACAAACAAAAAGTTAATGATTATGACATGTATAAATATATACTTGCAATAAATTCCTGAATCCAAGGGTGTATGCAAAAAGTTATAGTGTTACATAGAAATACTTTTTTCCCCTTTTAAATCTTTAGTCATATGAAAGTAGTATGTTTATAATTTTAATTTGTATTTCATTTATTATGAATGTTTATTAGCTTTTTTTCCATATGTATAGAAATTCTTTAAGAGCAGGAATGGCATCCCCTTCCTAAACAACATGCCTCTGGAAACACTATGAATATTGAGAAATGACAATAGTTACTGAAAGGCTTCAGGTCTTTTGTTTATACGGTCACTATGAGTCATGATCTACTCGATGACAAGAACAACAACACAGAAATTCTTGTAGAACATTTGTTTACTAGGGATGTCATGAGGAGTTCCTGTGAACTGGGACATGAAGCAACAGAAATGTATCACACTTCTGGAGACTAGAAGTCAGGATTCAGGATGTTCCCTGGAGGCTTCAAGGTAAGATTTTCTTGATTATCTTTCCTCACTTCTGGCAGCCTGGGTGTGTAGTGGAACAACCTCAGTAGTTGCCCTTTTTTTGCACAGTTACTTTCTTTCCTCTATCTCTTAGGAGTTCTCTGGTCATTGAGTGTTGAAGAAAAATAGGCAATTTCTTTCTTTGTGATATACAATCTCTGAATACCCATTGACGTGTCAGCTATAAGTCAGTTCCAACTTAACGGTAAATAACAACAATACTGTTCAGTTTTAAAAAGACTTAAGAGTGTTTGGGGTTCTTAAGACTTTAAAAATACTAAAATTATCTCCGGGCAGTAGTTTCAAGAGCTATTCTGGCCCTTTTAGCTCCTGAAAATTGGAAATCTATGACACCTTGAAATTTTGTTCTTTTATCAACGTGTTCAGTCATAGTTGTAGTACATGATCCTTTTCTAGACTGATGGCAAAGGTTTATGTTGTTTGTGCAGGTAGTTAGCAATATATTTAATATTCTTCCTCCTGTTTCTAACATTTTCATTCCCCCTATTGGGTAGAGAGACTTAAGTACCTTAGGTGATTGCTTGTAAGCTTTTAAGAGATCAGATATACACAGAAAACTAAAGATAGAAAAAGGAGCACTAAATATATTATTGTTATTGAGTACTGTAAAGTCGTAAATGACCCTTCAGTGGGTTTTCAGAGGCAGTTAATCACACGAGAGGAGATTGTCCATTCTCCCAAGGAGCAGCTGGTGACCTTAAACCACATGCCTTTCTTATTATAACACAGCTTCTTGCCTCTAGGCCATCAGAGCTAAACAGGTTATTAGGCTCACTGATTGGGATATATACCATAACTCAAACATCAGAAGAATCAGATCAATGTGATATTTATTGTGTACTGTCACATCAGAGCTGATCTTTAGCTAACCCTCCTGTGGGTTTTCAGAGGCAGTAAATCTCACATCAGGAGAGTGCTCATTTTGCTGAGAAGCAGCTGGTGGATTCAAACTGCGTATGTTTGCATTGGCAGTGCAATTCCTTATCATTAAGCCACTGGAACTCCCTAGTCGCAAGAGGTATTTGATTGTAAATAAGAAACCTTATGGTTGTATATATGTGTGTATTTAGATACAAATACACAGCTCACAAAACTTTTTTAATAAGTGTATGACTTACGGACAGATATTACCATACTTCATTAGTGTAATTTTTTTTCTCACTGTAAACCAAAACCATTATTCTTGACCAGTATTAGGAGGAAACCATTTACCCTTGAGTAACTTCTTTTCTTTGAGCCTCAGTTACAAAAAATGAGTAACACTGGAGTGTGCCCATGTATTTGCAGAGGGGATTTAGATTTGTAGAGAAAATTATTAATGATGAATAGGTTTCAATGCAGTTTTTAGACTAAGACTAAAAAGCAGATCTGGCCTTCCGTGTCTGAAATAACAGGCCTTCAAAAACCCTAACAGACTAACAGGAATATTGTTATGTCTAGTGGCAAAGTATGAGCCTTACAAGTTACAAGAAACTAAAAAAATGAGGAATATCAAGTACAAACGCTCCTTAATAATTGTAACATGGAATGTATGAGATAGGCATTTAGAAACTGTTGGAAGTTGTAAAAAGCGAAACACAAATGTTGACATCTTAGATGTTCGTTAGCTCAGATGAAGTGTTATTGGCCATTATGAATGAGACCATTGATAAGATCTTTCATGCAGAGAAGGACAAAATGTGGAGCTATGGTAGGAAATTCACTGTTGTTAAGAGCATTTCATGATCCTGAAGGTTATTGCTGTGAGTGTTAGAATACTGTTATACAGAGAAGACAATAGTTAGACACTGAAGCCACAGATGAAGGAATTAAGAATTTCTACCAAATTTTGCAGTCTGACACTGATGGAACATGAAATCAAGATTAATAATAATTGGTGACTAGAGTGCACATGTTGCAAACACCTAAACCTAGGAGTTGGAGAATATGGCCTTAGTGAAGCTGGAGATAACATATACATTCATTTCAAACACCCTTTTTTGTTTTTTAAATTTTTTTTTATTGTAAAAATGCCTGTATGAGTATCCAAATGGGGAAGAGGTGGGAGCAGAAGGATGACACTGGTTGGGATAAAAATCACAGGGTTGCACAATTTGGTGGGTGGAGGGAATGGGTCAAGGAAATGAGAAAGATGCAATGGGGATTGGAAAAAGCAGGGTAATGGTAGACATAGTCCAATAGTGATTAGTTGGGGGTTTTTTGGTTGGTTTTTTAACGAAGAGATTGTCGTTTTTATTTGTGGGTTCCCCATTTGGGAAAAGGGGGATGACTGGCTGCTTCATGCTGAACAGGGGCGTTGGGATGAAGGGGGGCTACTTTTACACTTTGCTGGTGGTCATAAGTTGAATTATTGGTGGTTTTGATTTGAACCTGCATACTTTCTTGTTCGGCTAGAGTAGATTTTTATGACGTTTTCTGTTCTCTGGACTGCAAGGTCTTTGTGTGCGTGAGTCCATTGGGAGTGGCTGGCTGAAGCTCCATCCACCTTCACATCCTTAACTCTCAGTTACATTTTCCCTTTTGTCTCTGAAACAGGGCTCAGGGTTCAAGTTACCTGTTAGAAAGGGAACAAACCAAGAGAACAAACCTGTGAATTACAAAGAAAAGGGCTTTGGGGGTGTTACAGGTGTACTGGAGGAGGAGATGGAGGAAAGGCTTAGATAAAGTTCCTCATACATACCAGACAGCTCTACCCAGGGACAGGGTGACCCTACCCAGGGGCCAGATGGCTCTCCACCCCCACCCCAAAGCTCTTTCAATGTCCAGATGTTGCACCCTACTAGAGACCACAGCCAGGGACAGCACTTATGGCTCTAGCGCCATCATCATTGCCCCTGTCCTCTCTACCAAGTGGGCTAATTTAAACTCAAAGTACATACATAACTTTACACAAATGGAGAAGGGGCTTCTAGAGTGGTGAAGTATGTAAAAAAAAAAAGTTGTCTGAAGCCAGGCTGTGAGATAGCACTCAAGTTGGCCT